CACAGGAGACAAATGCTGAGGCTTCACTTCATTGATAAACCTCCCAAAACTGGCTGTAACTGTTTCCTCATGAGGTCGGTGCTTCAAGACTGCAATAAGGTAAAGTATGAACAAGGATTAAAATTTGATAAGAGCACAACTGTGGAGCAACAAGAGCCAACTTGGGTGAAAACATTTTTCCTTTTGGTGAGAAAATAGGCAGAAGCTCTCACCCTGGACAGCAGATTGATGCACTCCTCTGACAGCCCAAACTGACCGGGTGGTTTTCTGAGAACAAATAATACAAAATCTATCCGGTTACACCTTCAACACCTTAAAAGGAGGTTTAAATTTGACTATTTTTATTTAGAATAGAGTCCTATTATAGGAAGCTGACACCACTACAATTAGTTTTTTGTCACTGTCTGACTCGCTGTAGACTTAACTCACATTGTTACTGTAATGAATATCCATCAGGTCCCCTGAGGGAGCTGTTGCATATATTGCAATAGGAATGGTTTACCCCCGTTCTTAAAAAGGTCTAATTTAAAACAATTGCTTAACATTGATTCTCAATAAAAGGCAATAAAAGGCAAAGAAAAAAGAGAAATGTGTTAAATGTTCTCTTTAAAGATTTATGGCTCTTTTTAAGGACTTTAAAAGTGTATTTCTCATTTTTCACAAATGTAGAAACAGCTCCATTCCTACCTGTAGCACTGACAGCATGACCCCAACTTGTTTCTTTCTTCTTGTCCCTTTTGGTTCCAGCAGCGATGCTCTACAGGGTGCTGATGTTTCTCTGGTTGTTAACCTGCCTGCCTTATATAGAGACACAAAGACCAAAAAAACTGGACAGGGCAGGGCAGGTGTATCAGTGACAACTCTCCATGAAATGAAACTGAAAAATTTCCTTGATAGTCATTTTCACCTATTGTGATGCTAGGCATAATCATCTTCCCCGAGGAGGAAGGAGGAGGAGGAAAAAATTCAGTTAGTGATGTCATCTCTTTAACCTTGTTAATTGCCTGTTTGAGTGGGGAAATTTTCATGAGCTCCTCCCAAACGCCAACATGTCCTATTTATAACAGGCTTTCACACTGCTGCAACAAATTTCCACACTTCATTTTTCTTACATATCCCGACAGGTAAGGAACTTCACCTAATTTTTCTCTTTTACTTACACAAAGTAAGGTTTTCTGACTGTATGTTACCTTAACCCCAGAATTATTCATACTGTAATTATTCAACTATTGTCAGATTTAGATTTTTAATTATTTTCTTTCAACAAACTTTGTTTCTGTCTTGATATGATATGAAAGATGTCTGTTTTTATTTTGGTTTGGGAAAAAAAACGGTGAGCCTTAATCTGCCATTCATGTGAATAACCTGAGCTTAACAGTATCCTCAGTATCATATAAACTACCCTGATGATGATTTTATTGATTTCATTTTCTGATTTTTTTTTATACTTTGATTAGTGACTCCATGAAAAGGACTAATCTTATATTTTAAAATGTATAGCTGACTAAGCTTTGACACTCATTCTAAACCAATAATATATTTTACTTGGCTGTAAATAGCTGCTTTTCAGAGATTAGAGCAGGAGCTACGAATACAAACTAGTTTCTTACATTTGTCACATTGCAACAATGGCTCTGCCCACTGATGACAGAGCAGGACCAACAGGTCACAGATATGTTTGAATATACTGAGAGGTTTCAGGACAATATAGCACTTTATCTATAGAAAGTATTCCCTGAAGACAGCAGAATGTTTAAACCTTGTGTCGCTCTGAATGGTGAAACCTTTGTATTTGGTTTAAATATTTTTGTGTTCTTCTGGAAGTGTTTGTTTTCATGATTTTTACTGTCTAGTCTGTGTTGTTTCTCTTATGTTTTTAATTCGACTGTAGATTCGGAGTGAAAAATGGCAGCATCAGATGGGTTTCCTGCCAGTTTCTATGGGGAACCAGGAGTTTTAGGCATGCTTTCAAATGGGATCAGTGCATTCCTTGTACTTTTACAGAACTTCTATACAGCTCACAATGGCAAAGCTCCAGTTGGAATAGAGAACATTCTTGCAGGTAAAATAAAATTGAAATGAAGTGTTCAGAAATACACTTTACTTTAATAAGTAAACCACCGTTTTGCAACCATTTTCCAGGTGTACATCTCATCCTGATTGGTGGGGTTTGCCAGTTGGTGGCTGGACTGCTCTCCTTCCGTAAATACGACCATCTGAGCGGTACTGCTTTCATTGGCTATGCTGCTCTTTGGGGCAGTTATGGTGCAACCAGAATCTACTATGGTGCCTTGTTTGAAAATTCAAGTATGACAACAACAACA